CCCTGGAGGTTTTTAAGATGAGACTGGATGTGGCACTTAGTGCCATGGTCTAGTAACTATGGCGGTGTTGGATCAAGGGTTGGACTTGATCTCCTCGAAGGTCTTTTCCAACTCAGCTGATTCTATGATTCTATGATTCTACAATACTAAGTAGTCTCCAAACATTAGGGTTTAATTTCACAATATGCCATTAAAATATAGGAATTGAATAAATTATCAATATTTTCCACTGATTTTGGGTACGTAAAGCTAGGATCATATTTTTAAATAGCATATTATATAACATATGAAAGCTCAACATCATTTCAGATCCAACCTTGGAGTCTGAAACAATGAACCTCAAAACAAACAAAAAACATACAACGAAAATGTATCTGAACTCAAGTGGAAGCTAAAAGTCCACTCTGCAAGCAGGTATCTGGTTTCCAAGCAGTTTTCAGGCCCATGCTTTGTTCATTCAGCTGACATGCTAACCATGACCTGGCAGCTTGGGACTTGGTTTCTAAACTTGTGATATTTTTTTTTTTTTTAAAAGACAGACTCCCAAGATATCCTGCTAGCCTCCAATTTTTATATGACACAGCTTGTGTTTCCAAGACTTTCAGTTTGTCACTCTACAGCAGCCAACTGAGAAAACCTGGAACAACTATGGTGCATGAGTTTATAGAACCTTGAGGTCTGGCTGATTCAAAGACAGAATGTCTACTCCTCCTGGACTCAGTTTCCAAAGTTAAACTATTCAGAGAAAAGTATACCATGTATTGCCTTTCAACAAAGGGGAAAAATCTCCCACTTTTAACTTTTTCCTTATCATTTGACTCCAGTGGGTAAAAAATGAGAATATTAACAATATTAATAGTGAGCACCAACAGAAGTTTCAGTGGATGGCAGAGAAGGAAGCTTGGGATGGGCAGTCTCCAGCTAAACAGAAATTTAACAGCAAATATATATATGTATATATATATAAAATTCTTTCAAGCAAAACCATAACTCTTGATGTGAGGAGAGCAGACTTCAGGCTACTCAGAGAATTAGTAAGTAAGATCCCCTGGGAAAGTGTTTTTGCAGATGCTGAGGTCCATCAGTGATGATAACTTTTCAAACATCACCTCCTAAGGGCACAGGAATCGTCAGTTCCGAAATGCTGGAAGTGAAGCAGGCAAGGCAGAAGGCCGGCTTGGCTGAACAGGGATCTTCTCTTGGAAATATGGCAAAAATGGAAGGTGCATGCCCAGTGGAAACAAGGTCAAGTGACATGGGAAGAATTCAGAGATTCTGCTTGCTGCTGTAGGGAAAAAATTTGTGCCACCAAAGCCCAGCTGGAGTTGAAGCTGCCAGAACTGTGGGGAACAATAAAAAGAGGTTTTTCAAGTACATTAATGGCAATAGGCAGTGTAGAAATATCATCAGCCTGTTACAGGATGGAGATGATCACCTCACAAACAGGGACAGAGGCAAGGCAGGGGTGTTTAATGCATTCTTTGCCTCTGTCTTCAACTCGGATGATGGACCAAGGGGGTCTCAGTGCCCTTAGCTCCAGGACCATGACTGTGAGAATGATCAACTCCCAGTCAACCTTGAAACTGTGCAGGATCTGCTACTCCAGCTGGATCCCTACAAATCTGTGGGGCCTGATGGGATTCATCCCAGAATCCTCACACAACCTCTCTTGGTGGTTTTAGAGTGGTCTTGGGAATCCAGAGAGGCCCCAGCTGACTGGAAGCTGGTGAACATTGTCCCAGTTTTCAAGAAGGACAGGATGGAGGACCCAGAATCTACATATTCATCAGTCTCACTTCAGTGCCTTATAAAGTTATGGAAAAGATTATTGTGGGAGGCATTGAAAAACATCTGAAAGACAACGCAGTCATTGATCACAGCCAGCACAACTTCATGAGAGGAGACTCCTGCTTATATAACTGGATTTCTTTTTATGACAAGGTAACCCACCTAGTTGTTCAAGGGAAGCCAGTTGATGTAATCCTTTTGGATTTCAGGAAAGCTTTCAATACTGCCTCTCACAGGATCCTTCTGGATAAATGTCCAGAGTGGGCAATGGATAAACACATCATGCAGTGGGTGAGCAATTGGCTCATGGGTGGAGCACAGAGGGTAACACTGAATGGGGAACATCAGACTGGTGACCTGTTCCTAGTGGGGTTCCACAGGGCTTCGTCTTGGGCCCTGTGCTCTTCCACATCTTCATAAATCATTTGGAAGGGATACTAAGCAAGTTTGTAGATTATACAAAACTGGGAGAAGCTGTTGACTCCTTGGAAGGCAGGGAGACCCTGCAGAGAGACCTTGACAAATCAGAGGACTGGGCAATCACCAACCATATTAAGACCAAAGAGGAGAAGTGCTGGATTCTGCCCCTGATATGGGGCAACCCTGGATATACATACAGACTGGGGAATGAGATGCTGGAAAGCAGTGCCATGGAAAGAGACCTGGGAATCCTGTTTGACAGCAAGTTGAATATGAGTCAGCAGTGCCCTGGCAGCCAGGAGGGCCAACCATGTCCTGGGGGGCATCAGGCAAAGCATCACCAGACAGTCTGGAGAGGGGATTGTCCCTCTCTGCTCTGCACTGGGGCGGCCTCACCTTGAATATTGTGTGCAGTTTTGGACACCGCAATATAGGACAGATATTAAGCTCTTAGAGAGTGTCCAAAGATGGTGAAGAGCCTTGAGGGGAAGCTGTGTGAGGATTGGCTGAGGTCACTTGATCTGTTCAGCTTGGAGAACAGGAGACTGAGGAGAGACCTCATTGCAGTCTACAACTTCCTTGTGAGGGGAAGAGGAGGGGCAGGCACTGATGTCTTCTTTATGATGACCAGTGACAGGACCCAAGGGAATGGCCTGAAGTTGTGTCCAGGGAGATTTAGGTTGGATATTAGAAAAAGATTCTTCACCTAGAGGGTAGCTGGGCACTGGAACAGGCTCTACAGGGAAGTGGTCACAGCACCAAACCTGGCAGAGTTGAAGAGGTGTCTGGATGATGCTCTCAGGCACATAATGTGACTCATGGGGATGGTCCTGTGCAGGGCTAAGACTTGGACTTGATGATCCTAATGAATCCCTTCCAACTCAGCATATTCTGTGATTTGAATAAGTATTGTGATTTTATATGTCATCATTTTCTCAATTTTGCAGTATTCTTTTTAGTGGGAAAAAACCCACTAACAGCAAATTTTCATTTACTTTCCAATCCTTGATTCATAAGAAAAACCAGAGCTCTAAGTTCCATGTAGTGTCTTATCCTTGTATCACTTGCCACTACATCAAGGGTAAATTCTGAAAGCAATGTTTTTTTTCCCCCATATCATCTTCTGCTGATAGAAACTCTGATGTTTTTGCTGAAATGATTTGGAATTCTGTCAAAGGCTTCAGGATAAGCATATTGCAGTCTGGCATTGAATTCCCAGACAAAGAAGAAACAACTATAGACGCTATCATGAGAAAGTTGTTTATAAATCCAGAAACAAAATTGATGACAGCTAGTGTAGCAGTCTTTAAATTAAGGCCATTAGTATAAATATCAAATGTGGTACTTTTGCACGTATCAAAATTTAAACAGGACAGTGTAAGTAGCTTCCTGAGACAGATATTTTCTGGTTTTCTCTGTCAGTGTTTGTAGACGTTAATATTTCTAACTGGCCATTTAAAGGCTAAGATTGGTAAGAGAAGATGCATTTTAAGTTGTTTGAGATAGAATGCCCTATTGTTCCATAGATACTTTTATCCTTTCTTATAAACTCTTTTTATTTGTTTGTGTTTTGTCTGCCCAAGTGCAAAACAGTTCACCAACCCCACTTTGGACTAATAATGAAATCTGCATCATCTAAAGCTAACAATGTATTTTATTACAGGTTGCAACAGAAGCTCATATTTCATCTTCCTTGAATAATCTCAGAATTGCAAAATAGAATCTCAAACACACAAATGCCTATTTAGAATATGCATTTATATACCTACATACATGCATGTGTATACACACATTTATAACTTTCTGTAGAAATGGACATGAACAACTAGACCAATACATGTAATAGTTACTTTTAAAAAATGAATAAAAGTGACTTCAATGTATCTCATGAGCTTCTTCTTAGAAACTAGAATGGTTGGGAGGTATTCAGTTTAAGCAACTAAAAAAAGAAAATATAATCTATACTCAAAAGATTAATTCAAAACTTGATGGATTCCATTGTTTCTGAAGCAGAGAGGGGTTCTAGCATCTGTCTTTGTTAAAAAATGAACCAAGAGAATATTTCATTGCTTAATTTTTCTGTTTGGTGGCAGAGAAGAGTGGGACATCAGTAGTATCTAGGAACTGTCTAGGTCACTGCCCAGCATCACTTTTTTACTGAAGAGCATGTCTCTCAGTTTAGAAAAGACAACTAAGTCTGTGTTCAGCTAGACTCTTAGAAGTTTAGAGAAGTCCTAGCCAGCAGATTCAAAGACAGTTACTATAAAAGACACGTAAAAGTCGTGGAAGCTTGAAATATAAATGGGGGAAAAGAGATTTTCATTTCAGGACTGGAAAAGTTAAGGGGTAATGTACTGAAAGGGAATTAAATTAAATAAGGAAGGTAAATGTGAGTTTTGAAATTTATTAGTAATATTATTTCTGCTGATTTTTCAAGAGATACTATTTAAAACCAAGGCAAGGCTTAAAGTTATGGATATCTTAATTTGATATTAATTCTAAGTCTGTGTGATTGGAAGAATCCAAATAAATGACATGATAAATATACTAGGTCATGGTAATTAAGCTTAAAGACAGTTTTCTTTTAAAAGGTGCATCTTTAATTTAAGCTACCTTTTTAGACTCAAAATGAGTGTCTTATTTCTGATATAATGAATTTTGATCTAGAAAGTAGACACTAATTACATTTTAAGTGTTCCGCTTAAGGCTTCTCATAAATATAATGAGAGTAGAAATGACAGAAAAAGATCAAAAGAAAAACTAATACTTGCCTTTTTATATTTATTTTACAGGAAATGTGTTTGTTGTAAGCCTGGCAGTTGCAGACTTGATTGTAGCTATCTACCCATATCCACTGGTCCTCACATCTGTGTTTCACAACGGATGGAAACTGGGATACCTACACTGCCAGATTAGTGGCTTCTTGATGGGCCTAAGTGTCATTGGATCAATCTTCAATATTACAGGCATCGCTATCAATCGGTACTGCTATATCTGCCACAGTCTCAAATATGACAAGCTATACAGCAACAAGAATTCATTGTGCTATGTTGTTCTTATATGGGTCCTAACATTTGTTGCTATTGTGCCCAACCTGTTTGTGGGATCGCTACAGTATGACCCCAGGATTTACTCGTGTACATTTACACAATCTGTGAGTTCAGCATATACAATAGCAATTGTGTTTTTCCATTTCCTGCTTCCCATAGCCGTAGTTACTTTCTGTTACTTGAGAATATGGATCCTAGTTATTCAGGTAAGGCGAAGGGTTAAACCAGATAACAACCCTAGGCTGAAGCCACACGACTTCAGAAACTTTGTAACCATGTTTGTAGTATTTGTACTGTTTGCAGTCTGCTGGGCCCCTTTGAACTTTATAGGCCTTGCTGTGGCTGTCAACCCAAAAACTGTAATCCCTAGGATTCCAGAGTGGTTGTTTGTATCTAGTTATTATATGGCATATTTCAACAGCTGCCTTAATGCTATAGTATATGGACTCCTGAACCAGAACTTCAGAAGAGAATACAAGAGAATTATTGTCACTTTTTGTACAGCAAATGTTTTTTTCCAGGATAGTTCTAATGATGCAGGAGACAGAATGAGAAGTAAACCTTCTCCGTTGATTACAAACAACAATCAAGTAAAGGTGGACTCTGTCTGAAAATGGGAATCTTACTGTCATTCAACAGCATCCAAATAAAGTCTCTGTTTTATTAGTTCTACTGTTAGATATTATAGTGAAATATATCTTCTACACTGAGAGCACTTTGATCAAATTTCTTTCATAGTATTTGGGAGCTTGATATAGAGCCATGGTATACAGGTCCTATTATACAATGGTATATCTCTTGTATAATGACATAATGATATCCTTGAGTGAATAACAAGTTATGCATGGATACTTGTTTTTTTCCCTTAGATGAAGACAAACACCTAGAAAGAGATTGAAACAGAAGTATCCACACTGCCTAGTGCAGTAAAACAAATCATAAAACTCTTCCTGCCACTTTCCACCTGCTTTTTCTGGCCAGGTTGTGGTCTTGATTCTAAAACCTCTGGAAACTTCTTTTAAAAGAAGGAATCAGGCCTTTATGAAATATATTAGGAGATGTGAAGTGAAAAATCAAGGTAATTGAAAATTCATCAGGATTTTTGATAAGTACCTCTATCTATATTGCTTTGCTACTAACATGGACACAGTTATAATTTTCTTTGGGTATTAAACCTCAGCAACCCTCCTAAGAATGACATTCTCAATTGACTTCTCAATTTTAAAATAGCTTTTAAGGGGAGAAACATGCCTGACTGATTATCTTCAAAGCTCCAAGGGCAGGAGGATAAACAGCAAGAAAAGAAAAGAGCTGTGATTCATCAGGTCAAGCCATTCCAGCATGAAAAAAATGTGTAGGAGGGTTGGGAAGAGAAATTTAAATTACCATTATTTCTGAAGAGATGGTAACTCATGAAATGGGGAAATGCCCCAGAGGAGCTTCTGAGGAAACACCTTCTAGAAACATAGGTGAGGAAGACTGTTATATCTCACCTGTGTAAAGGATAGAAGTTCTAAACCTCTGTGAGAAGAAGATTAATGCATTTAATATGAGTGGCAAGTTTTGTCTAGTCAGTGGAATCTTAACCCCATGCAACCCTGGGAAATAAGATACAGAATGACCATATAACATCTTTTGGAAATTGTTCTCCTGAGAATAGCCTGAGACTAGAGGTTATTTTGTAATCTGACACAGATGAGCTTTTCAAATTAATAATTAGGTGTTTAACACAATTATGAACATAGTAGAATAACCTAGAACAATTAGACACCTTTAAATAATAGAACAGAGAAGATACTACTTATGACAGTGGCACAAAGAGGAATATGTGACTCTCAGGACAGGACGTGTTATGTGGACTTTCCACAGATAGCAGGCACCTCTTCAGTGAGGGGAAGCACACTGTGAAGTGAGGAAGAATAGCTAGGCTGTCTCCTGCAACAAAGAATGTCTGTTTATAATGAAGTCCTCTGGCGGAGAAAAGCAATTCACAATAGGATTCACCTTCAAATTGACCTTAAAAAGAAGGAGCATTTAGTTCTGGAAAGAAGCTCCAACTGTCATAGTTTTTAATGCTCAAGCATTTATACCTACAGAGATGTTCGAGTACACTTGAGCTTTTCCAAGCCGATTCCAACAATGTCAATGGGACTAAGAGTTTCTGAATAGCCATCAGACTTCTGTTAATCTATGTTAAAATGTGAATTTTACCTAAAGAATTTTTTTAAAATATTATTTACTGTAATGGAGATTTTCTTGAGCTTATATGTCTTAGAAAACAACAGTTACTCTATGTCATAGAACTCCTTAAACTGCATATGAATCTGACAGCATTTCGTCTTTCTTGGATCATAGATTAGCATATCCTTGACTTAATAATGAACTAAAAGGAAACATATTCATATTTACTTGATAGCAGTACTGACACTTCATCATCTGACCAGTTTCTTACCTTAAAAACAGGTGCCTCATGTCATGTTAACAACAGAACTAATGAACAACATTGTAAAACCCTGGTTATGAACTAGAAAGTCAATGCATTGCCAAGGTGCTTGACTCATCTTTGTTTACATTTTTCAGTCAGAACCACTGTGTAAATAACCAACTCTCTTCTATTGTGGTATCATCATGTGATGCGATATGATACAACGTGATTAACAACATAAAGTATATCACAGCTTTCTTCACTGTGATTTCATCCTTGGAGGATGCTTAGCTCTGTAATTTTATTGCTTTGTGCGTAGTGATTTTAGAATAGCAAGGGAGGCATGATTACCTTACAAGAAAATGAGTTTTTCATGCAAGAGAAAACAATATTTGAATTCTTACAAAAGTTGCCTTATTTAAAGCATATTTTCAATGAAAATGATGTCTTATGATATATTTATTAAAGTAGCATAAAGACAGCTTAAGTAGCTTAATCATTAGTAAGTTTAGGATTCTCAAAGATCTGTCACTTGCCATTTCCAACAGAAAATGTACATGTGTATCATGTCTACATATTTATGAGCCGGTTGAAGACACTGTATCCAATATTGTGGGTTATCTGAGGAATTAAAGTCCCCTGTAATTCACAAGTGCTAAAATATATTTTTGGTGACAATGAAAATGCTTTGCTATATACAACAGAACAAATTATACCAAAGGTATATATTTTGTTGAATAGGCCTGTAATAAAAATGGAGAACATTTTTCAGAGCTGTATTTTGAAATATTTGTATTAAATCTAAATCACAGAATTTGCATGTTGGTGCAAATTTTTAAGCTGCTAAATATAGCAATAATTTTAATAAACTAATCCCTGATTCTTCTTTGGGGGGCAAGTCTTTAGAATTTAGTTTAAAATTACTATGGATGAAAAATTTGAGCAACATCTGCTGCTCTCATGAGATTACTTTTGCATTTACTGCCATTCTGAAGTACTTTGCAGTAATGGTTACTTTTAATCCAAGTCTATTGCTTCAAAGGAGTTTAAGTGATTTATCTAAGACAATCAGCAGCCTTGTCAGCTGCTCATTGACAATGGGCAAGACAACGTAAGTCAGCACCTCACAACGTCTGACTCTTTATGGTCAACATAAAGATTGATGAAAATGATAATGATTTCTGTCCATTCTAAGGAGATGGATAGAAACCTATCCAAAATTAGTTGCTTCTGTGAAAGTAGATGAGCCTTGATGTGTTTTTTTACATTCCAAAATATTAAATTTTCCCCTATACTAAAGGCTAGAATAGAAAAACTGCATTATTTAGAGTTCTGTCTGGATGGTTTAGATAGTGTACTTGTCCTACAGCAATCATCAGCCCTGGACAGATTAATTTCTAAACTGAGAGTCTTAGGTGTCTACCACATCTGCACAGGCCCGTCCCTTTTGTATTTCCTATCCATTTCTGGTCTGAGCTCCCGTGAAGCCAAAGAACCTCTGTGAAGGAGCAGTGCACGCCTCTGTAGGCAACGCACCGAAGACTTATAGCATAATTGACCTCTACCTTATCCTACAAGAATTTCTTTCTTATATTCCAGTCTTGATTACACTGACAATCTGAATATGATCTTATATCAAAACATCTTGTACTCCTACAGACAGGTGGTCATCTGCATTGCAAACTTCATGTTAACAAAGAAGCTTGGCAGTATTACATATTTACCAGCAAAGAGAATCTTAATGAATATATTAATATCAAACAGGGTATTTATTGTAGTTGAACTGTAACTGTATGCAACAATGTAGTTTCATTTGGAATAGCTTGCTTAAGAGTGCTTTGCACATTTTCTTCTACCACTGGGCTAGTGCAAGTGCAGAGATATGAAGCAAATATATGTTATTTCAATAGGCATAATATATAGCAATGATTTTACTGTTTTTCTTTTGCTTATTATTTGTTTTAGAAGGTAGGTGTAGGAATCATCCATAATAAACATACTGTCAATCTGTATTAGTGTATAGTGCATCCTTCTATAATGATCACATATTTTTCTTCTTTTTGACCACTTTTGAAATAGTATCATGTGAGATCTGATTAATTATGACATACTGAAGGGAACTGCCCTTTCCCTTAAACTGCACTGAAAAAACCAGTCATAAAAAAGTCTCCTTAAAATATAATACACAAGTACATAAGTATATGTGATCATCCAGTTTAAAATACAGTTTCAAACTCTTCCTCTATTTGAAAAACTTGTTCACAAACTGTAGTAATATAGATGGACTGTTATTCTTTAATTCTTTTCTAGTAACTGCACTTTCTAAGTATTATTAACAAGGTTTATGAATAATTAAGAACTACAAATGTCTGTCATCTTGTCACTGAGTTTTGGGAAATCACACATGCTAAAGCTAAATTTTTTAGAAGAAAAAATATTCAAGTAGTGGCCTGGCTTATAGCCCCTGTACTGTATCTCAAATTTTTGCCTGTGTTAAGAATTCCATTATGTGGTTTTATGAATTTACTTATTAAAAATTTTATTCCTACCTCAAAGATGTGTCTGAGAGATTGTAATATGAATAGGGTGGAAAAAGACTTACAGTACAAGTCAATAGCTTTTATAATTTTAAATAGAAACAGAAGTAAATTCATCAAAGAAATACATATATTAATAATGGTCACAGAAAATATTTTCCCAATTTAATATTATACTCATCACTCAAACCACCCCTACTACCACACACTGACCAAAGTATGCCCATTTTGAAAAGCATGTTATTCATAAATGTATATACAGGTTATTCCAAAAGTTATAACCAAACAGCATTTGAGACATAGTGTCTCATTTTCATCTCACATAAACCAGCACAGTTTCAGTGTGTCATGTCAGCTGAGGATTTTGACATATTAGATTTCATAAATCTAAAAATTAGCTATTTTATGCTATTTACACAATAAATATATATTTTATTTCTAAGGAAGTCCACAATTGTCAGCTGTCCATGTTATAGGAGAATGTGAATTTGCCTACTAACTATCTGCAAATTTAACTTCATTAAGCCTTTTTTGATAAATTTTTAAGTTACATAAAAATATTATGTAGATCTATGGATTATATATGCATAATTTACAAACCTCGTCATGTAAAAAGATGTGTCCACCAAATACTATATTCAAGAGATTG